CTATTTCGGTTATAAATCCATTATTTCAAACTCCAAAAGCCCGCTAGCGGACTGCCGCTGACTGCCCTCTCTGTATTTTGCTGGAAAAGCAAGATGAAGACGAACGGTAGAATGCATGTACAATACGCTTGATAAATTGCTGCCATCTTGAATCACTATCGCTTGCTTCAGCTTCCGTAGAGAATGCAAAATAGTCAGGGCGATGGTTTTCAATGTAAAACTAAACAGCGGCGCGCACCATGGTAGCTGGTTCGATCATGGGTTTTGTGCAGCCTTGGCGAGCGAGAGTTTGTGCAAATCTGTTCGATGGAGCTTTTCCAACCCTGTCCAGCTGACGCTTGTGCATCTCGGTTCAGGGGAACTTTGCTGTTAATAGTGTCTAACTGCACTGCTGTTTAATAAGTCGCATGCTAGTTTCGGCGCCAAAACGAGCTAATTTTGGTACCAAGACTTTCAAATGTCTGTACATGGGACCTAAGCTTGCACTAAGATGAATTTATACGCAGATTAGGAGCAATATCCTAAAAATTCAGCCTCCTAGCTTTTCCGGTACTTCAGTTACTAATTTTTGCGCCCAAAAATTCCACATGTCCCTAGGTGAGATCTAGGCGTACCGTGAGGCTGAATTCGAATCTGCGGGATCATATGCAGGCAATGGACATTCCCTTAAGTATTCAGCCTCCCAGCTTTCCTTGTTTTCGAATTAACTTTTACGCCAAAAATTTCATGAGCCTACGCGTGAGACTTAAGCGCAACTCAAGGCTGATTTTAATTTTACGGAGGTCATGTTCGGACAAAGGACACTCCCCTAAAATTTCAGCTTCCTGCCTTCTATGCTCCCCGAGTTATTCATTCAGGCGCCAAAACTTGCACTTAATCGAAAGTGAAACCTAGGTGCGCGCGGATGCTGAGCTTGCGAGATCACACGCGAATAGAGGGTCACCCCTTAAAATTTCAACTCCCTAGCTTCTCTGGTTTCCGAGCTGAAATCTCCGAATAAAATGCATCCGGGACACGCACACTCGCACATCCGCACAAATGCATCCAAACACATGCATCCAAACACATGCACCCACACACATGCACACACACACAGACAGGGTCTCGACAATACATATTTTGTGCAACTGTTGCAACACAAAACGCGTAGTAGTAATGCCCAGCCAGCACCACAGTTCTATTACTCGCGAGATGTAAATTCATTCATTCAATTTTTATGCGTTTTTGCATAATATGCAAAAACA